GCTTCATTAAAAAAGAATAATATATAAAAAGTCAATATATAAAAAGAATAATTATAAAAAGTCAACGAAACCTGTTCAAATTAATAATCTCAGTAATTATTGTTTCAACAAGGTGTTGCGCAATTCAGTGCGTTTCGGGTCCATTAACGGCTTGCGGGGCGCAGGCGGTTGCCACGGCAACGGGTGTGCTAAACGACAAAGAGACAGTAAAAAAGGTAGGAGTGGTTTTGAGTTGATTGTCTGTTCGGGTTGTTTTACCTTTGTTTACCTTTGCTGTGGCTCATTAGACCCACTGTAGTTTCTGAATGTTCAATAAACGACAAAACTTGGACTAATTACCTCGTTCTTTGTGAGTATACATCACAACAAACATCAAAGGACAAATATATTTCATTAAGTTTTAACAAATTCTACCAGGATAATTATGTGAAATTAAATTAATTATATCCCGACTTCAGAAGATTTGCCTTTACCTTTTCTGGGCTCTTTGGTTAGTTTCTCATACTGAGGTCATCAAACCAAATTTCAGATCTACCATGACTGACTGACACCTGCTGGCATCAGGTTTGCAACCAGCTTCTGACTGAGAAACCAGGAACCTGCTCCAAGTGTCAGAATCTCACTGAGGAAGAAACTGCGTTAGGTTTTCTGTCACTTTATCATTTCTGCTATAACTGATGTATATTCGCATATAAAATAAGTCAATAGAGTTTAATTTGCAATTTTTATGTCTTTGTGTCATGAGGTAGATCTCAGGCGGCTGGTGAGAGAAAAAGTAGATCTTGCACTCAAAAAGTTTGGGCACCCATGGCCTAGTTTTATTGTCATATTCATAGATTTGTTATGAATCTTTGCAAAATAAATAAATAAATAAATAATAGAAAACGCACTTAAATCATGTTTACATCAGTAACAACATCAAATTGTCTGCAAATACATATATACATTGCTCCATTTATCTTGTTCTATTTCTTAAGTTTGTTGATTTTTTTTTTTTTTTACTTTATGTCCTGAGAACTGAAGTCAAGTTTCTTTTTGTGCATCTATCTTGGCCAATAAAGCTTATTTTCTAATTCGTCAGCATTTGTAATAAATTTTGTGTTTCTGTCACTGAATCTTAATGTATTGATGTACCTTCAAAAAAAATTCACTGGTACTGAATGCTTTCATTGTTTGTATTGCTTACAAATAAAACAAGTGGAAGAACTGCAGGACAGAAAACGTTCACTGTCGTGACCAGACCAGCTCAGGAAGACAAGTAAAATTTTTATAATATCTATTAAAATTTTCATTTAATTCCTTTTTTTCTGAAACAGGGTTGTAGGTGATCCATTCACAAAATTCAGTCAATACATAAGCCATTGTTTTGCGCTTATCCTGTGATGTCTATTATGCTCTAAAAATGAATAAATAAACAATAAATTAAAATGTGTTTTTTTAACACATATTTATTTATTTAATTATTGGGTTTTAATTTTGTTCCTCGATTGAAGAAAATAAATTTTTATTAACTGAATGATTTTTGGGGGGACCTCCTGCTGGGGGCGCCACTGTTACCTACGTGGCGAACAAGAGCTTAATGCAGAAGAGACCTTCACAAATTTTTGTCAGTCTGTTCTACAAATTTTTTTCTTCAGTTTACTGATTTTCATAAAACTGAAAAAATAAAAATACACCACTACCCTAACACCCATAAACAGCAGTCACACACACACACACACACACACACACACACACACACACACACACACACACACACACACACACACACACACACACGCGCGCACACAGACATCTTCAGAACAGCAACAGTTCAAACAATCAGATTCCAGTGTGTTCGTCATCACAGTTTGGAGCTACTGTCACTGTATAAGCATGTCATAAAAAAATCAGTTTTCTTTAATTGTTTGTTGGAGGATCTGGTGCTGAAGTTCAGCCCACCCAGTCAGGAAAACATTTCTTTACTGTCAGTGTGAATATTTTTACTCTCAGGAAGAATTTCATTCAATAAAATCTCTTGTTTTCAAAGCCTGTTTTATTCTGGTTTTATTGGTCCTTGACCTTCACTGAGTTAAATATCACCTCCGCTTCTTTCAATAAAACAACAGTCGGAATTAAACTGTCTGCAATTCATAAATCAGGAAATCATTTGCTCGTGTCACTTAAAATATGAAAGGGAATATTGTTTGTTGGTCTTTGAATGATGTTATTTATACACATATCAGTGTGTTGGGGGACTGTCTTCAAACACCGGTTTGAGGTCCACAATGGGGACACTTTCTGATGTGCCAGTCACATGGTGGAGAAAACTCACCTTCTCACATTCACATAAAGTCTCAAGGGCCAAATTATAAATATTTGATATTTTCTCCTGACAGAAGGTTGTTTTCTCAGACTGTGCTGTCAATGTGGGAAATGACATCTGCTCCTTTTCTTTACAGGTTTCTAGATTTTGACAAAACGATTTAAAAAGAAATTCAATCCAGTCCATCCATTATCTATACACTGCAAAAACACAAAATCTTACCGGGTGTTGTTTTTAGTCTAGTTATCTCAGTACACTTGAAATGAGACAAAACTAACTTACAAGTATGCTTTCGGCAAGACACAGCAGCTTGTTTTAAGTGAGTAATTCCTTAATATCGGTGAAAAAAAAATACTAGTTCCAGATTATTTCAATGAGGAGAGGCATTAAGTATTTGGGTTTCTGTCAGATCATTAAAGTCAAATTTAACTTGTGGAAATGATATAATCAGTCAGACAAAAGATAAATGTACTCACTGATTCTGATACTTTAGTAAAATAACAAAAATAATAAAAGGGTAACAACAAATTGCATCGTTACAAATGTACAAACTCAACCAGAATAATAATAATTGTTTTATAATTTAAGGGGTTTTTTAAGCCAATATTCATAAGGTATAAAGTTAAACAGAGCATATTACAATAATTCCAGTGATAATATCTACCGTTTATCTTCACTTGACCCCCAAATTGCTCCAACAGGCTCGCTAGAGAAAAACATCTGCAGTTCACGTTCTGACTAAAACCAGGAGGACAGAGATCATCACTCAGTTCTAGAGTCCTTCACTGCAGCTCTGAGAATATACTGCAAAATACTGTTGCTAGTTTATAAATCACTGAACGGCTTAGCACCACGAGACATTAAAGATCTGCTGTTGTTGTATCAACCTTCCAGACCCTTCAGGTCTTCTGGTTCTTGTTCTGCATCCAGAACCAGAACCAAAACGAGGAGAAACAGCAGCTTCTATGCACCACAAATCTGGAACAAACTTCCAGAAAACTGCAAAAATGCTGCAATACTGAGTTCTTTTAAATGACAGCTAAATGTTCCCCCCTTTTTTAAAATGACCTTTTCATTAACAACTAAAACATCATTAATTACATCTTTATGTTTTATGTTTCTATCATGTGAATCACTTTGGATTGATAATTGCTCCATGCATATTAACTAGCTCTCTCAGCTAGAAAGCAAATTGTAAATGGACGATCCATTTATCCATACAGTGAGTGAAGATGGGCAAAAACGGAACGTGCTTTTAGACGGGAAGGGAAAAATCGACAAAGCCAACCCTATTTAATCTCATATAGCATCTCATCTGTTTGGTCACGGCTCCTCAAGGCCTTTAACGCAACCTGAGGCTGAACACATCGAAACGAGGCTCCATCTCCAGTCATCAGCATCAGATGTTATCAGGTCCACAGCAAAGAACCACGCAGACCTCTTATCTGATCTCCCACTCCCCTCGTAAAGCGCCATGGACCAATGGAGACCCGTCACATCTTGAGTGGCATTTCCTTCTAAACAATGCTGACGAACAGACTGGCCTTCCTGTCTGTGAACTCCAAAGTCCAGCTCATCCCAGTTTACAAGATTAGATAACTCGCCGTTAAAGGCAGAGTGACTGTTTGCTCAGTGACTCCTCTCTGCCCTAATAGCATCTGATCTAATGGGAGATTGCTGGCTGCTTGTTGACTGTGGAGACCCACACAGTGTCATGGCAATGGCCAAACAACACAGGGAAAACAAAGCAGGGCTGAGCTTTAGTGCCCATAATCACTGGATAAATATCAGCCTCTTTGCTTAAAGCTGCCAGCAATAAATACTGTATATAGCTCTAATTACAGCCGCAATATTGTGCATAACATTAAAACATAAGCTAACCTGACATGAGATGCTAATAGCATTCTGCACTGATTGCACAACAGTTTCTTCAGCAGCCATATTTAGTTAGAACACACTGTTTGTCCCCTTATGGATTTAATCATGTAAATGTTTCAGATAATCCAGCTAATTTTAATTTCAGGAAGATAAAATATGCTGTTTTCAAATCAGGATTGTATTTATTAGGCAAAAAAAAAAAATAAATAAAAAATCTCGTCAACCCAACCTGCCCTGTGTAAAAAAAAAGAATTGCCCCTGAAAACCTATTACCTGGTTCCGCCGACCTTGGCGATAATAATTGATATCAAAGGTCTGTGATAACTGGCAGTGAGTCTTGTACCTAGTTGTAGATTATTTTTGACCCACTCCTCTATGCAGAATTATTTTTAATTCAATCAGATTAGAGGATTTTACATTATTAATAGCATGCTAGATCACAGAAGCATAATCTAATTTCAGTCTGAATCCGCACAATTTTATGATTCTTGGGAGAAAAGCGACAAACTTATCTGTGGCCGGTGGTCAGTCACATTCCCTCAGGTTGTCTTTCTACAGAATGATCTGAAACAAAGAAAGAAAAAAAAACATAATTTCTTAAGGAGGCAAATACTTTTCCTGCAAATAATCTAAAGATCTGTAATCTTACATTCAGAAGCTCTAACTATTTTCATCAGCAGGATGGTGCAATTGTACCTAACTTCTTTGCTTAATGGTTTAGCTTAAATGAAAGCTGTGTTGTCAATGCGCTCGTTGTCCTGACAGGCAGAGTGAGAAGAGGTCGGTACAAAAACCAGCAGCCACAACATTTTCAGCGATGAGAACCGTCGATATGTTTATTTGTTTCAGGAGTGGCGGCCATCGAAAGAAGTTCTGGTCAAAATCAACTCTAACATTTGTGGACATGATAAAATAATCAGGAGAAGCGGTGAACATTCTTTGCAGGCACGGTCACGCAGCAGAGGTTTTCATTACGGCCAAAGTTCAGACAGCCAGGAGTTAACTGTAGCTTACTCCCTTTCGAAAAAAAAAATAATAAAAAAAATGACATTTTTGACAAATACTGCATTGCTGTGTTTAGTTAGCTTTGCTTTCTGTTAACTTCACCTAAAATCTGTCAGTCATTATCTTTATGGATTCCTGTGTTGTTGGTCATATCCTCGTCTCTGTTTCCTCTTCATGCAGTTGGTTTCTATCATTTGTTTGAAACATTTCCTGAAAAAAAAAAAAAAAAAAAAAAACTTCAGGAATGAGTTCTTAGCTAATCAGGTTTGTTTGCATCTCTTCCACATCCATCCTGGTTTACAGCCTGAATTTTCTGGAGAGCCTCCAGAGATGAGAGAATAAAATCTCACTATATGTACAGAATTTAACTCTGCTCATAACATAATTAGTCGGAAGTGATTTCTCAGAATCAAATAGTGTTATTGTAGCAATTGTGTACAGCATGAATAATTGTAATCAGACTGGAATCCCCCGTGGATCAGCATGGTGTTGTAAACCTCTATTAGCCAAATTCACATGTAACACGATCATTAGCAAAAACCCGCTAATTGAAAGAAAAATCTTTTGTCACGCTAGAAGAAATTACTTAGAAATTCACCAGTAAATGACGATATTGATAAAAGCCATTTTCAGTTTCTATGAATAGTAAATGACAAAGAATGAATGCCGACAGAGCAGCAGAGTGAAGGTTTGAACCACAGAGGTCACAGAATGACCCCCCACCTTCATTTGTGCCTTGGAAATTCAAGGGTGGGCTCATAGAGTCCAAAACATCCAGAATGTTTTGAGCAACATGTTTAAGTTGTTGATTTAATTTTGCTTTTGATTCTACTAATTTAGCTTAAACGTGAATTAAAAAGTTGTCATCTTAACGAGCTTAGCGAAAACCGTGTTGGATTCAACTGTTTGTTGTGTTCAGAAATGAGGTTGGTTTTACTTAGACATCTGTTTGCATGGAGGTGGAGATATTTAATAGGATTTATGCAGATGCGGCGTCTGTATGCACTGTGATTAGCGATGGAAACTGAAAATAAAACAGGAGCATGTTCAAATATTTATCGGTAGACATTTTTATCGCGTGGCACCTCGCTGGCTGTCTGGCTGGGGAAAACAAAATGTAAGCTTAATTCTGTTTTAATAAAAAAATAGTTAAGAAATTAACCTTACTAATGAAGTAGAGATGTTTGGACTGATATGATGTGTTCTCATTCTGAAACTCTTCATACAGATTTTGTTTTTAAGTAAAACATTCCATGTAAAGAGATAGTAAGACATTAGACTGTTATTGAATATCATATTAGGTTCAGTTGAAAGGTTAATGTTATTAAATTACTTGCTGTTTTATGGAAGTAATTCCTTTGAATTCATGCCGTCATGTGATCTAATGCAGATAGAAATAAGCTTTTTATAATCAGTTAACCTGAGTATAAAAGCCTGGCTGAACTCTACAGTGTCTGTATTTTTATAGTAGGACAGAAAGATTTGTGTTGCTGCCGTCTGTTTAAAACAATCACTTCCTGCTCACAATCCCCTCATCTGCTTATCCATCATTTCATAAGCACGCATGTCTCTATGTGCATGTTGACATGCTTGGGGTCCTGTTGCAGCAGCCACAGCCTCCCGGGAGCTGCGGGGTTTATAGACGGTAGGCAGAAACATTGGCTGTTCCCTCAAGACAGCCCTCAAATTAAGAGCTAATCAGTTAGCCCCTGGAGCAGGGCTTTCCACAGAGCCCAGACATGCAGACGAATGGGCCGGCAGACCCCCAGGCTTGCAGCAGATTCATCTTACCATCCTCCCCTCTCCTTTCCTCTCCTTTCTCCCTTCTCCTCACCGCAGTGACGAGCCTGGCCTTGTCCCCTCGAAGACCCCTCTTCCTCTTTCTCTCCTCCCTCTGAGATAAAACAGGCCCGGCTGGAGTCGGAGGAAAGTGTCGGCCCTCACTTCACCTCTCCTTTTCCACTCTACCTGGCTCTGTCACCTCGCGCTCCCCTCCTTCCTCTGACGGATGACCAAATTTATTTCTAAATTTGATCAAACTTGAAGCATTTCATACATTTTTCTGGCATCTTCAAAAGTTTTGTTGTATTTTCAAGCCTCATCGTGCCTTTTTATGACACAGCCAAGTAACTGTTACCTTCAGTTGTAATTAAAACTGAAAATCGTTTATATTTCACACTTTTTCTTGTATCTTCAACAGCTTTGTTCTTTAAAGAGGCGGTATTATGTATTTTCTAGCCACATAGTGCCGATTTATAATACAGTCAAGTAACTGAGTTACCTTCAGTTGTTATAAAAATGTGTTATATCACAAATATGACTTAAAAGAAATTAGTCTTTGGAAATTAATGCCTTCAAATTGGGCCTCTGTCTCTTTAAAAACTCCTCTTCCTGAAGCGCTGCCTTCAGGAAGTCAGCACAACATGGCTCCTCTATTAACCCTTTAACAAGCGTTTTTTACCAGCGTTTCACTGAGAAGTAGCTCCTATAATGAGACCAGGTGTTGCTAATTTCTGCCGGCTAGTCTGAAGGAGCTGAGTGGGAGATGACTGCTCCGTGAGGGGGAGGAGTTTTGTGAAAATAGCCAGAGCTTTGCGAGAGCAAACTGTTGCGCCGCTCTGCTTTTCAGGAGCTTTCAATCCATAACTTTTACCCCAGAGGAGACAAAACAAAGAGATAAGATTGACAATTTAATGAGTAAAAATCAGAGAATCAGCCGTTGCTTCGCAGCACTGGACTTGTGCTTCGTTCATCTTAAGAATGAGACCAAGAGAAGCAAAGAAACCCACTCTACGGGGTCTTACCCTGCTTGTGTATTCATACTTTCAACATCATGTGTGACCAAACTGACCTTGACTGGTTTAAGCAGCAAGATAAAAAAAAAAAAAAAAATCTCCAGATAAAACGATCAAAGATGACTCCAGATAAAGTGGTGGAGAACGGTTACAGACAGATTCAGCTGAGAGTTTCACCTCCACCCTGAGGAGATAATGAACCATATGCTCTCAGTGAACATTATTCATTACACTATTAAAGAGAGTTAAGGCACCCCAGAATGGTTGCCAGGGGTGATCCAAGGATTTCCCAAACATGAACTAAAGAATCAAACACCGCAGGTGTGTTTTTGATGAAGGAATAACATTACAACCTGATATGAAGTTCAAAAACATTGATTTTACATGATACTTACTCCCACTGTAAAGCTGTAGTATGTAACTTTTATAGAAAACTATCTTCTTACATATTTGTTTAAAAATATGAGACAGATAATATGTGAAAAAAAATGGAGCTCCTCTGCCTTCTCCCAGTGCTAACTAGAAACAACCAATCAGAGCCAGGAGGCGGGTCTTAGAGCTGTCCATCACCTTTCCATGTGGCAATGCTCATCCCTCCTCTCTCCTTCCCCCCTTACTCTGTGCTACTCTGCAGCTAGCACAGCCTGTCATAAATGCTAAGGCTAGTTAGCATGGCCACCGATGCATAAACAGTTTTCCTTTAGCAATAAGTTGTTTCTCTGCGATTAGCAGCGAGTATATGAGATTGATTGACAGTGCTAAGCCCCTCCTCCTGGCTGTGTGTGGATGGCAGTAGCAGCTCAGCGAAGAGCTGGAGGAGATCGACCTTTACACAGATTACTGTCTAACTTTCTGTCACCACATGGGGAGAGTTTCAGCAAATATGTAAAAAATATATATTTATTTTTACAAATGTTACATACTGCACCTTTAAGTAATAAGTGCTATATCTATGTTGTCTATAAAGTTAAAGTTTGTAGAGAACCAAATAATGCAAAGAAGTGTTTGGAAATGTTTTTTTGATTAAGCTGTTTTTGATTAAACTCTTACTTTTTTACTTAGTTTCACCTGACTGGATTTCATTAGCAGCTCAACATTAACCAAGCAAAAACATAAAAGAAAAAAGCAAAACATTGCCTTTCCAGTGTAATTACCATCAGTTTTACTAGAACGTCTAAACTACAGCTGCCCTGCACTTTGCTTCTAATACCTGCTGAATTCCCAAAACGTCTCACCCAGCCATTTGGTATGTGTTGCCATGGCACTCAATATTCTCAGGGCAATAAAAGACAAGCAGCAGTGTGAGAAATAAACAATGTCATGATATGACTTTGGAACTTCACTTAATGTGAACAAGGATCTGGCTTTCCCCTCACACACACACACACACACACACACACACTGAATGTTTTGGATCTGTGGAGCTAATGTGATGCTTTGGCAACTAAATCATTGTAACTGAACTCGGCTAATAGATGACACATGGCAGGTTCTGGCAACATCAGATCTTCACTGACTCCATCCCACCTCTCCTCATCTGCTTCATCATTCCTACACACACACACACACACACACACACACACACACACACACACACACACAGACAGAGCCCATGTGCCAAACCAGACCACTCACCATACACACTAATGCTTCTGTTCCACAGAACACAGAGCTCCATCAGTCATGTTCACCTCACTTAAGATCCCCATTTGTTTTCATTTCATTCAAGCATTTGCTGAAACGCCACACACACACACACACACACACGCGCACATGTAGACTTTCTGACTGAGGATGTGGAAGAGTGTCACAACCTGGATCCGGATTTTAGCAAGCTGAAACATCAGGTGAGAAGTGGAGGACTGCGGTGGAGGAAGAATTTTTATGATGTTTATCTGGTATCTGTGCTGCGATTATTTGAACAGCAGTTTTGAGGCCGCAGGGCTCGCTTTGGAATCCTGAACATGTTGATTTTAACTTTCCACAGACAATAAATACCGGCTGATTAAGAGGATACAGCCCGCTTTTTTCCAGCACACACACCTTCCCTGGCATCCTCTGTGTTACAGGGGATTAGAGTGTTTGAAATCTGAACTTTAAGGAGGTGGGTGGGCAGCGACCGCCACACTCGGAGGAGGTGTGTGACGCACAGAGAACCGTCCTCTGTCTGCGCTACCATACCTCTTCTGGCGCTGCTGCAGTCGGCACGGCTCTCAGATGTGGCTGTGATTGTATTCATGTGGCGGCTGCATCACAGAAACATTTGGAAGTCTGTCTGTGTGAAGCAAATCCTGAAAGATCTGAGTGTGTGCTGTCAGAACGAGCAGCTAATCAGGGGCTGAATCTTAAATAACATCTTGCTGAAAGCTGACTGTTTAACAGTGGAGCTATCATGTTTCCCGGTGGAGTAACTTATTAGTAAAAAGACAAATAGCGGTTATTTTATTTGACCTTATGGAAAATATAAAAACCCAACATGATAATTCAATTCACATCAATAGTGCCAATTCACAAAAAACTGTAATGTCAAGGCATCTCCAAAAAAAAAAAAAAGACAATTCAATCACACTTACATTCCTGTTGATCTTAGTTATCAAACTGTTCAGTAAGCTCAATTAATTTGGTATTTAAAACTTTAAGATTTTTCTGTTTTTCATTTGCAGTTTCAAATAGAGAATCATAAAACATTTTCTATTGACAATGTAGTGAAGTCTAACTAAAGGTCACATCATGAATTAGTCTTAAAGTCAATACACTTGGACAGAAAAGAGTAATATCTTATAAGTAGCTTTCCTATTCGGGATCAACTATCAGTAATCCACAGGATTGGATAACACCACAGACCTGACCCGATTTGTGATCTACCAGTAGGACCTGCAGCTGTACGGCTGAAAACTGTGTGTAAATGTTCCTTTAAATTTTAGTTGCTGGATATTATTATTATTATTATCATTATTATTATTATTATTATTATTATTATTATTAGTTAACCCCCTTTACTATTAACAACACTGTGGTGGAAAAAGGGTATAAAACTAAATGTTATTGGTCAGTTTACATTTGCTTATTTGGCGGCTTGGGGCTCTTTCTGTTATCTAAATGTGACTTTGCAGTTAAGCTAGCTAAAAATAAATAACCGGACTTTTAACCCTTCTGCATTTCTGAGGCCTGAAATTTTCACCACGTGCGTAGTAGAGGCGGGGTCGCCGGTTTAACAGTTTTTTTTTATTTTTATTTCCCCCATGAACGGAAGATCTAAGTCACCCGGTTGATCTACCGTGACATTTGCCAGCTCATCCTGAGCGTCGAGCCAAGACGCTCACAATTGGCTAAACAGTGAAATCTAGTCGCCAGAAAGAGTAGAACAAAAGCAAAAATTACCACTTCACCTCCTCCTCCTGTGGAAGTCTCATGAAACACCACCTGAACCTCCATCCTCCTCCTCCCAGGGATCACACAGGTAGGATTTGCTTTCCTGTCTTTGTTATTTAATGTAATATGTAAAAAAAAAAAAAAAAAAAAATGAGGTGGGAAAAGTGTCATCTGCAAGCTCTAAGACAACTAAAACTGTGACGTTTTGAATGCTCTTGCTGCTGCGAATGCTAAGGCTAGTTAGCATGGCTACATTGATGACAGTAGGTTGTTTTTTGGTAGAGAGCTGTGCATTTCTTCAGTCGGCAATAGTATCTCATGAAGGGAGCTCAATATTTTCACAGATTATGTCTCATATTATACTGTCAACATAGTGGCAGTTTTAACAAATATAACTACAGCTAATATGTATTAAAGAACTGTACTGCTGTGAATTTTGTCAAAAATATAGTTAGACATTTAATTTTACCATCCACGCATTGGTGGTTTTCCTTTCACAAGGCCCTTTTCCAAAAATACAATCGTAAAAGGTACCTGGTATACAAACAGTTAGGAAAAAAATAACCAAATGTATTGGTAAAATTTCTAATTCATCACACAAGTCGATTTGATATTTTTTTTATTGTTATATTTTACCTTTGTGTGAATCTATGCTTCCATTGACCTGTCTATTCTGTTCTCTGATAACATTAAAACAGATAGAGCCTAGACTGAGCAGAATGTGACAACAGATTGAAATTTAAAGTCACAATTCTGATATATTTTTATGGTTCGGTATTAGTATCTCCGACTGTTTCATGGGGGTGAGGGGAAGTATTTGGGGTCCACTTATAGCTAAACTCATCATCTTCTTATTTTTAAGAAAAATAATCCCCACTGTTATCTCTGACAAACTGATGCAGGGGGGGAGTTGTCCCGTCAGACGGTCAATTCCTGAAACCACACACACACTCGCACACAAAAAAAGACTTGGAAATTCGCTTTGCTGCAGCAGTCTGGTGGTGTTGCACTGATTCCACACAGAATAAAACACCTGTGGGTTCCAGTCGACCCCCTCTCTTAAAACCATGGGACGGTGGAAAGGGCTTGATCTTTACATCACGCTATAATTTTATTCCTTCATCAAAAACATACCTGGAGTGTTGCTTTGATTCTTTCATGCATGTTTGAGAAATCCTTTAATTTCAACATGTTAAATTACAAAGTCAAATTTCTTTTAAGTCCTATATGACATGTACAGCATTTTTACAACAACTCAAGGTAAGACAGTGATCTAAAATGGCACAATGTGCCTGGTAAAAACATAATACTGCCCCTTTAAGTGCGACGGGATTTTTGTGCATCCGATCCTGAAGCAGTGAAGTGTCAAACATGCTGGTCGTGACTCCAGTCTGAACACGATGAACCGGCAGCTCCTGCCCACCCTGCGCTGGGATATAACATTTCACCAGTTTAGATTAACTCACTCTGACCCATCAACACATGTGGAAGTGACCCTCAGACGCCTCTCACAGACCCATTGGCTGAGTAGCGTATGTGTGGGTTTGTGTGTGTGTGTGTGTGTGTGAGACAGAGGAAGTGCGTGGAGCAGCTGATGCAGTGTGTGCTATGTTAACCCGTCCAAGGGCAGCAAAGCAATAACAAACACAAGATCACAGCACTGAGGTGACCTCTGACCCTGCACCCTCCACACAGCCGGCCAGATCACTATCACTCTGACAGTCGCTGAACAGTATCACACACACACGCACACACACAGCCACTCTAAATACTTGCCATCATGGGTGTCCCTCAATTCGTGTTTTCAATCATTGACTTCCCCTGGAGAAATCAGAGGGTCTGCTCGGCGCTGCCCCACAGTAAATGATTGACGTGTATTTTGAATGGAGGGCTCCGCCCAATCAGACAGGAAGTGTGAAGTGGAATCATCTCCTGCGGGCGGCCGCGGCAGGACACGAGGAGCTGGACACGAGACGAGACGTGACCCAGCGAGCGTCAAGGTAGGACCTGCAGGATGACCTCTGACCTCAAACTGGAAGCACACACACACACACACACACACACACCTTCATTGGTGCTTTCCATCTTCACGCTTCGCCCGGCGGTTTCGCAGACGCATCGGTTGCGGCTCTGCGGTAAGCTGCCGTTCAAGGGAGGATGAAGGCTCTCAGAGGGTTTTTTTTTTTTTGATTCGCCGGCGAATCCTGCTGGACCAACAGTTGGAGATGTTTGGGTTTCTAGTTTAGCACTTTTTTTTTTTTTTTGTCCCTCTTTGCTTCCCATCAGCCTGTGGAGGCTCAGCGTCTGCTCAGTTGAGTAAACCCTGAGCTCCAAACACTGAACACACACTCCAGACTTCATCACAGAGACCTCCACTGTTTTGTAGATCGTGCCCCCCCCCCAACCCCCTGCTCTCCCCCACCTCCACCAAATGAGAATTGAATTTCTTTTTCTTTTTGTTTATGTTATCATTTTGTCGATCTTACCAGAAGTGGACCATGGAGGGAAGTAAACGGGGGGCAGAGTGGGGCTCACACACACTTTAATGAAGTATTTACAGATAATTCCAGCTGTCAAATACTTGAGCTGGATGACATAGTGCAGAGTGCTGACGTTTAGAAGTGCCCCCCCCCCCCAATGGCCCCCTCCTCCTCGTTAAGCAGGCGGATTTGATTTCAGGTAAGAACTTGTTGCTGGGTGGAAAAGCGAGCGGCGGGGGCTTTTACTGAAAGGAAAACAATCGTTGGTGTTGCGGATTGGAGCTGGAAGCAGGAGGCCGGGCGCAGAGAGCTGCTGTCTGCCCAGGAACACGGCCGCCCTGATGGGTCCTGGACGCCGAGCGCCCAGAACCTCTCCGGCTCTGAGCACGGCTTTTTACTCAAAGGCCATGAAGTCATCAGGAGTCGCTGCTGATCATTTGAGTTGAGCAGAAATGTTGACATGGAATACGAAACCTGAAGACAGGCTGTTTTTTTTTTTTTTTTTTAACTTCACATTTATTTTTGTGGCGATGGGAAAAAATAATCTTCGAGGCTTTAAGGGTCAGCTCAGCCTCACAGCTACTGGCTGATTAAGACTCTGTTATGACTGAACCAGGAAACACAAATAACAGAATACCGATGAATATTAAAAGGTTCTGATCAGATTCCACCTGCTGAAATAATGAATTCATCCCTTTTAGGAATACATGAATGAATAGAAATAATATATACATAACTACACTAAGCACATGTAATAATAAATAGTAACAGTTGAGAACACACATTCATATTCAGGCTATAATATTAACAACCATTATTAATAAAACCTTTATAAGTTCCCAAAAGAAACAAACAAAATAGACAACATAATTATTTGTTCAATATCTAAATAATTATAAAACAATTTAACACATAGATATACTTTTAATAATAATATCAGATTTTTTTTAATTATTGATATAGATTATACTAATATTTTTTTAATGAATAATTAATTTATGTATTTGTTCCTAAATCTGAAGTGACACGAAATATTTAATAAGGAATACAAAGGAATAATTCTAATAATAATAATAATAATGAAGTAATTAATTTAGAAAAGCTGTGTTTGCTGACGGCGGCGGGTTTAAAGCTGCGGGTTCGCCGCCTCTCAGTGAAAAATGGCGCAGAGCAGCAATAATGGATCCGTGATCCGTGACCTGAGCATGGAAGCAATTAGCGGGCGGCCCGAAAGTGACAAATTAAAGACAAATTAATGCTCCGCGGAAACGAGATCCAACCTTTAAAAACAAGCCATTTGGGCCGTTTGGGGCCATCAGCTCCTCTTTAGTGCCGCGGCGGAGCCACGCAGAACCCACGCAGCTCCCGGGCCCCCAGGAGCCCCGAACCCTCTGACAGACACTCAGCCTCCTCTGATACCTTCAGTTCCTCTGAAGAAACACGCATCTGCACTCTTTTGTTCTTTCTTTTCTTTTGTTTTCTGTTCTTTTCTTTTTTTCTTTTTCTCAATTCCGTGCTTTTCCCCAAACGACTATATTTATTTTAAATGGAAACTTTAGTAATCATAACCCTGACAAAAAACAATACAAATAATTTTAGCAAAATTATTGGTGCAAAATTATTATTATTATTATTATTATTATTATTATTATTATTATTATTATTATTATTTTTATTATTATTATTAAATTATTTATAACTTATTTCCTTAACAATTATATAATAATATCAGTTTGGTTTGAATATTTGTTCTTTCTTTCTTTTTTTTACAATTGTCAGTAAATAACACATTTCTGATTTTGCTGCTGTTTGATGGATCATTTTTCTTGAAACATTTTTTGCACCATATCCTTTCTCTCTTTTTTTTCTGGCTCTCTCTCTGTGTGCGTGGTGTGTGTGTGTGTGTGTGTGTGTGTGTGTGTGTGTGTGTGTGTGGTGGAGACCTAGCCCACTTTGTCAGATTGTGAGCAACCGTGTTTTAAATGGACAGGAGATCCCCGCAGCAGATCTGAGGCTCCGAGGATTTTTTCCAGATCTGACTTTAGATTTTTATCTCGTCATCTCCCACTTTCATTTCTTTTCTTGGTTTCAGAGGAAATGATGAAAGTTTGAGCTGAACAACAAAAGGCCTCAGAAGAACTCAAACCGCCCCAACAATAAGTGACCTGTCGTTCTGATGATGTTAGTAAAAATTAAAAAAATCTTTCCTTGTTTTTTATATTTCACAAAAGAAATAATTCTTTCTTTCTTTCTTTCTTTCTTTCTTTCTTTCTTTCTTTCTTTCTTTCTTTCTTTCTTTCTTTCTTTCTTTCTCTCTCTCTCTCTCTCTCTCTCTCTCTCTCACTCTCATTCCTTTTTTCCATCCACTCTCCGGACCAAACTGCTCCTTCTTCTCCCGCTCTGACCAGAATTGCCGCTCCGCGTTGCTTTGCGCCACTTTGGCCTGCCTCCTGCGCAGCTGCAGCCTCTTCCTGCTTGCCACACCGCCGCGCTGTTCGCACAGAGTGATGCCACCGGCTCCATGTGACCAGGTGACCGGGAGCCTCTAACCAGAGGAGCTGGGGAACAGAACGGCCCCTGAAAATGAAACGCGCCGTCATTAATAGTTGAAGAAATGATTTATTGCGCATCAGCTGCGCTGCGGGCTGCAGCCAGAGGAGCGCTTCCTTCTTCACGCTTCATTTTGCCTGATCCG